ATCAAAAAACAAAAAACCCCCATAAAACCAAATTAAAAGCCAAATATTGGAAGCTGTGTGTCAATTAAAATTTTCTTAAAATCATCCCTACCTAAAATCCTCCCTAGGTCAGGCCCGCTTGCTGGAAAAGCCATGTCTTGAGGGCACGGCGGAAAGTAAGGAGATCCGGAATCATCCGGATCTCGGGGGGTAGTTCGTTTTTCTCCAGCATTGAAACATTTAAGTACAGGTAGTCCTTGACTTACAACTATTTTTTTAACAAGTGATTCAAAGATACAATGGCCCCAGAAAAAATAATTTACAACCTGTCCTTGCACTTATGTCTGGCACACCACCTCTGTGGTCATGTGATCACAATTTGGGAGCTTGGCTACTAGCTTACATGTATGACTGGCTGCAGCATCCTGCAGTCACATGATCACAATTTATTACCTTCCCAGCCGATTTTCAATTAAAAACGTCAGTTGGGCGTGGTGGCTTTGCTTAATGATCACATGATTTACTTAATTGTGGTGATTCACTTAACAATTGTAAAAATGGTTGTAAAATCAGATCTGGTCACATAACCGCAATGACTTACAAAGGAAATTTTGGTCTCAATTGTTGTATGTCAAGGATTACTTGTACTTCGTACCAGACCACAGGTAGTTCTTGACTTACAACCATTCATTTAGTGACTGAAGTCACAATCGTGCTGCAAAAAGTGACTTATGACCAGTTTTCACACGACCATTGCAGCATCCCCATGGTTGTGTGATTAAAATTTGGATGCTTGGCAATTGGTATGCATTTATAACGGTTGTAGTGTCCGGGGTCATATGATCACCCTTTGCGAACTTCTGACGAAGTCAACGGAGAAGTCAAATTCACTTAATAAACGTGTTACTAAATTAACTGCAGTAATTTACTTAATAGCTGGCAAGAAAGATTGAAAATGGGACAAAATTCATTTAACTGCCTTGCTTAGCAACAGAAACTTTGGGCTCAATTGTGGTCATAAGTCAAGGACTACTTGTATTCCTCTAATTCGAAACATTTGTAGTTTAAATCTTATCTTCACTGATAGTCATTGCTTATTTTTACAAATAAGCTAATTTTGTCTGAAGCTTTACAGTAATAGCTTGGCATTCAGTATGCAAATTAATAGTTTATCTACACATTCAGTCCTGTACCTATTCTTGTGTTTCATTATGCACATACAAAAGATATTCGTTAACATTTTAATGACTGATCCTTTGCTCCTATAAAGATTGCCAGTTCTAAAGAAACATAATGATAATTAGTGGGAGTAAAACTGCATTGCCTAAGAAATATTTTGTTTGTTTAAAGAAAAGTTTTAACCCTTTTTTTTTCAACAAAGGAAGTTATGTAAAAGTCTGTTTACAGACAAAGCACATGAGTAATCTTATCAATATCAGAATAGTCTCAGGATTGATTATGGAGGCAAAGTCAAAAATGTAGATCAGTTGGACAGCAATTGTACTTAGGCTCATATATCCCTTTATTATCAAATATTTTTATAATTAATGTGAGTTTTTCCTTTATACTTAAAATCGTAAGTATTCTAAATATTGGTTAACTTAGAAGAAAATCTGCCTACTCTATTGAAAAATGCCTTTCTGGTTTTAGATTTTTTTTTTTAAAAAAAAAATATAGAATTACATTTATGGGTTACTTTTTATAAGTGGATTCCTGAAAGCCATGTTCCAAATAAATTACACTAAGTATAGAATATTTTTATATAATATTACAGTTTTGAAGATAAGATTATCATTAAAACACTTGCTATATTGTTACATGCACATAGGCTTGGTTTGTAGATCTCGTTTTGTTTTCTTATTGCTGAGATGCTTTCAGGTGGATATTTTTTTCCATTTTCTGGTATTTACTGCTTTCTAAGTAGTACCAGAAACAGATATGAACTTTGGAGTATGCTTTTTGATCTCTTTTTTAAGTGAATAAGAATTTACAAAAGCTTTTAAGTATATTCTGGAAATTGAACTAAATCTTGTATCTTTCTTATTGGCTTCTAAGAATATTACTTTATTTGCTTTAAACAGTAAAAATAGTAACATATGATAAAGAAAGCAAAGCTTTGTTTATAATATCTATTTCTGTAGGCAAATTATTGGAAATTGTTTTGTATTAATGTTTATTTTGCATTTACCATTCCAATTATATGTACATCGGTCTAAGCCATTGAGAGCTTTTAACTTTGTTTTGAATGAGGAATTTCTCCAAAATGTTGGGTATGTAACATTCTTAACAGTTATATTTGCACTGTTTACAACTAAAAATAGAATATTAGAAATGATTTATATTTGCACTTAAATGAAATTCATAAATGGGAAGTGAATACAATTTCCTTCAAATAGCTGTAATTCATGAGAATTACATATAAAGAACAGCCTCAAAATGCAGGACTGGTTTTAACTTATATGTGCTGTTAATGACAAACGAATAACAATACTGCTTCTTCAGTTTTCTCATTCAGGTATTCAGTTTCTATTGCCTTTTGGAGAATTTGGAAATATTATGGAAATACAATTGCTGCGTTCTGATCACTTCTTCTTCTACTACTTCAGTTCTCATCTTACCAATGAGTAGGACTAAGAGTGAGAAGGCTCAGATTCTTGTCCACCTGTAGTCATAGAAGCTCGATGGATGATTTTGAGCTAGTCATTCTTTCTCAGCCAACCTACCTCATAGGATTGTTTTTGCAGGGAAAAATGAAAGTAAGTCCTATGAATGCTGTTTTGAGCTCCTGTATTAAAAACAAAGGAGGTATGAAAACAATTAGCAAACAATACATCAGTTACATCATACAATATAAATGATGGAGCTGATGTACTTAGCTTAGAGGCCCCATTTTACCCTTTGTTAAGGATAATCTGAGAACCAGCTTGTTAAGGTATCATGGAGACCAGGAGACCGTGAGTTCTAGTCCTACCTTAGGCACAAAGCCAGCTGGGCAAACTTGGTCTCTCAGCTCTAGGAAGAAGGCAATGGCAAACCACTTATGAAATCTTGCCATGAAACTTCAGGAACTTGTCCAGGCAGTTTCTGATAATCAGTCACAATTGAATGCAAGCAACAACAACAAAAAAGCATACTCTGTATTGATTGAGGTGACATAGATATATCCATATACTGAATGGAACTGTTTTCCAAAATAAATACTCCATTATGTACCCTGTGCTCTGTTAGCTCAAGCTCTCTGAAAGAAATTAAAATATGTTGGAGTGATCTTTTGGGAGATGGGTGAGTTTCATGGAGATGGTGGAGGATACACTTTGTCTTATGGCTGGTGCTTTTAATATCGGAAGAAGACAGATAGGAGAATGCTTTCAAGAATTGTTGTATTTCAGTTTGGTCATGACTCCATAGGTAGCTGTTCTATATTAAAGCCATTTTTACGGGTTTTAACTTGAAGTATTGGGATGCTGCAAATACTTAACTTGCTTTTCTGGGGATAGGTTTTCACGGCCAGTATCTGTTTAACAATGTTGAGCTTCAGGATTTAGTGACTGGTTTAGGCAACGGATTTCCTGATATTTTGCAGCAATTGTATCTAGCATCTTCAGAGACAAAGTGGTCTGCCACGTGGACTGCAGGCAACTGAGCAGGGGCTGACTGTGCTCCTGTTTTTATAGCCATACAGTTATAAAGCTATATAAAACTATATAATTTTGTAGTCTTTATAGGTGTCCTGACTGCAATAAGGACAGGAACCCAGTCAAACATTGCTTAGTTACCTGTGGTCTGGACAGGTAACATGATTGCTAAATCTGAAGCTCAGTACTGCCCAACTTGCTTTTCTGTTTTTAAGAGTACAAGGCCTCTAAGCAAAATGAGAAAGTTACCACCAGTGCCAGCATCAGTGGTATCAGAGTAATAAATAGAAACAGCTCTGTGCCATCTGTCCCGTTCCCCCTAGCTAACCACCTTAAATGTGAATAGATAGTATCCCTCACTGATGCTGAAGAAAAATTGAACTGCTTGTCTAGTTGGATTTTGTACATTTTCTTAATGAAATATTTATTATAAATGGACTTTTTGACAGTGCTGGATGCTTGTGCATGCAGAAGCTATTAAAGTGCTACTTGGGTGTAACATTAATCTGTTTCTTTTGAATTTTATCTTGTTTGGCATGATATAGAGTAATTTTTCAAATACCAAATTTTGGATGTGAATCCCACCATTCGTTTTAGAACAAAATTTATCTTTGTGTTGCATGGAAATGTATAAATTTAATCAGAGTTAAAGAAAACTGGTTTTGACATTTAATGATATCTTATAGTATATGTTTTTATGTAAAGTGTGTATTTTTAATTAAAAAATAAAACATTTTGCATTGGGTGATCAGACCACTTTTGACATATAGAAGTCTTCTTCATTGTTATAGTACGAATTCCTGCTAAGGTGAAAGATACTACTCTCACTTAGTATAACATAAGAAATAGGCCTACATGTATCTCACCCCTCTCTTTCCATTCACTCTGCTCTTTTAATCCAGCGTTCCAAATTAGACCATCCTAGTTCAGTGTTCTAGGTTTCCAAAGTATTCTCATTGGGCTTTTTGGGGGGAGGGATTCAAAAGATGGTTAAAAATTTGAAGATGTTTTTACTATTTAGCAACCACTAGCAATTCAATCATTAAGCAAAACAGTAACTAAATGAACTTTGCTTACAATCTTAATTATCTTTCCTTTGCTTTACAGTCCTGTGAAGGCCATAAATGCCAGGATTGATTGCAAAGTTACTCATCACAGTTCTAATTGTGAACAATTGCTAAAGATTTGTACTTATGTCTATAGTTGGGCACAGAATCAGTCATTGAGTAAAGCAGTTGTTAATTAAGGCATGTCACAGATTCACTGAATTACCACAATCCTGGGTCTCCTAATTGTGGTTGTTAATTGAACTTGCGGGTCAATAAACAGATGGAGTCAGGAGCATGGGGATGCCTTCTCTAAATCAGTTTTCAAAGAATCATAAGAATGAAGCCTACTTGGAGAATGACAAAAGACAGTAGGAAGGCCGCACTTTGCACAGACTGGGTGTGTCAACTGAAAAAAAACCTGAAGTTAAGCTGGGTCTAGTAGGCTGAGCAGGTTTCTGTATATTAGTGGACCCTGAGGCCAGCCTTGTTTGCACAGGCTGATGGGCTAGATCAGGAGTATCAAAGTCGCAACATCACATAACGTGTCGCGACATATCGTGACTTTTTTTCCATTGCCGGCGATGGGATGGGTGCGGTTTCGGCATGACGCATGTGGCCCGCAGGCTGGCAGTTTGACACCCCTGGGCTAGATAGATAATTGAAATGGGGTGGGGGGAGTGGCTAGATTGGTGGAAGAGGTTACAGCACCATTGTGTTGAGAGCTGCAGTCCAGCTGCCTAACACCCAAAATTTATTCACAAATCCACAAGGATGCCATAACTTTGGGCACAAGTCACAAGTCTCTTTATTCAGCACCCTCATAATTTCAAATAGTTGCTAAGTGAACAGAAATTCAAGACTACCTGTACTGAATTCTCCAGCATTTCCTTAAAAATTGGAAATCTAAGATACTATTCTCTGGTAACTTACAGAGCTTGCACTAAGTGACAATGCAAGCCATTTATATTTCCTTCAAAGTAACACCTGTGATTCATAAAAAAAAGTTATAGCCTTACAGATTCAGAATCATAGTTGAAGAATCTCTTTTTAAGGCTCTAGCAAAGAGTTTGAAAGCTGAGAAAACTTAAGAATTGTTTTAAAGTTTTTGTCTGGCAAACAGTTAAACAAGAACATGTATGAGGTTTGCAGTTCACATCAATCTCAAATAGAGATCAAGTGCTGAATGCATTACATTAGGTAAACTGGTGTCAGCGACTTTCCACCAAAGAAAATGATGCTCCAATCTGTCTCCATAAATACTTAACCTAGCTATTTCAACGTCAGCAACTTTAAAATACATGGACTTCAACTCCCAGAATTCACCAGCCAGCAGGCAGTTTCTCAATCTACAACTTTAAGAGGAAGGCACTTCAATTCCCGGACCCACCATACTGGCTGAGGAATTCTGGGAGTTGAAGGCCATCCCTCTTAAAGTTGCTGAAAATGAGAAACCCTGTCCTATAGAAATAGTTCATACAACCCGTCATCCTGCCTTTCTCCAAACGCCAGTTTGTTAACAGCACAGCCAAATAGGGGCGCCCCACATCCGCCTTCATTTCTAGAAACGGCGCGGCGGACCGAGCGAGAGAGAACGCATCGCGGCCTCGTGGGCGCTGGCGAGCGTTCCTATTCGCCGGGAGGCATGGGCGTTGCCACGAAGTTAAAATACGCTTGCGCGAATCGGGATAAGTTCTCCCTGAATTCTATGGGAGCAGGTGGGCGGAGAAGTGCGTGGGTTATCGGCTTTGAGTGGGTGAATTGATGTCGGTGATTATGGCCTGCTGGCAGCGTTTCTGGACTCTGGCCGTACTGTGCGTCTTGCTATGTCGCTGCCCGACGATGGGACTGGACACTGTGTCCTCTGTGTCGCCTTCGCCAACTCCTGCTCCGAGTAAGCAAGGAGCGGTCCTGTCGCCTATTCGGGCCGGGCGGTGTGGGGTGCATTGCGGGAGGGAGCATGGCCTGCTCAGGCTCGGCTTCCTTTCCCGCCTTATGGCCAGCTTTTCGGCGGTGGGGAGAGTCTTCCAGTCCCTTCTCTTGCGTCCGTATTTCCTGGGTCCTTTCTGGATACCGGCGCATTTTTCTCCCCCGTTTTCCTTTTCTCACTTAGGCTTCTTGCAGATGTGGGGAGAGGGGAGAATGTCAAGCCCCATCCCCATTTTGGGAGTTGCAGGCCTGATGGCTCTGGAGGTGACAAGGCTCAAAGGTTCAGGAACTCTGACTCGGGGAGCAAAGTCTTTTCGTACATTTAGCAGTCTCTCTCGGCCCCGCCCCAGGCGTCTTTAAAAATAAGGAGCTATATCGTGCTAAATCCCCTTCAGTCTTTTACAGATGAACGTCCTTTCCAGTAATCTGGTTTTATCATTTTACTTTGACCTAAAACTGGATACAGTTCCTGCCCTTGTATTGTTTTCCCAGACTTCTATGGCCTCCTCTATTACTCCATCCTCCATAAACCTGCAGTACCTCGAGCTAATATCTTAATTTCAGTGAGCATCAGATTAACACTTAGAATAACCTGGGCCTTCAGGGTTGATGCCTTTTCTTTTACGAGATTGTGAAAATGACATTCCTCTAATAGGATGATTTAGCTGAAACTCCTACAGGAACTGCCTGATTTTATTGCAGGTAGCACTTCCTACATTTTCCACAAAATAGTTGGAACTGAATTAGACAGGATATTATGGATTTGAAGTGGACTTTACTGTTGGTATTTTAAAGTGTAAGTTAAGAACAGCTACGAGACACCTTATATTAAGACTAGTTGAGGAAGGTATTTTATTTACCTCTCAACCCCATATAACATTTCTAAATTAAAACATCTCTGAAGGTACTTTTAGTCATAGTATGAGAGAGTTAACCATTTTAAGTTCTAATTTATTAAAGAGCTGATTTTATTTTCTAGTAATTTATAGCTTATTCAACCCTAATAGAGTTAATTGTTTTAAATATAAAAATTTTGAACATTTTTCTTTGAGTTGATAGATTAGGGCGAAGATCTCTGACTCAAATTGTCACGATCATGTGATTCATTTGCAAGATCTGTAATACTGAGGCCTTTTCATACATTGGTACAAAAGTCTCCAAGGTCAATGAATAGTTTCACTGTATGTCATTCAACTAAATGTTTTAAATACTTTATTGAAGAACACTACTTATTTGCTGTTTCATTTTGGCTGCTTATCTTGCAAGATTTTATATTAATCAGAACATCAATATTTAATTTGGTTGCTATTGGACCACAAAATATTAAAACAATACAGAATAAGAAAAGTTAAAAAGTAAGCTAAAAGTGCAGGAAAAGTAATATATACATACATACATACATACATACATACATACATACATACGGAGTGGCTTTTGATACTCTTCACAGCAGTTATAAGAAAAATATATTTTAACATTTCTTTTAATGTTATGATTCTTTTCTCTAATTATCCTGTCTAATCATCAAAAACTGCCAATAAATAAAAGTGTTATTAGCAATTCTCTTTAAAGAAAAATTATGTCTTATCTTCCATTTGCTATGTCTTTTCATTTCATAAGTATGTTTTCTGAAAAATTAGTCCAGATTACTTTTAATGGAAAGCAGACTAAATTTGACAAGATGTAGGACCGACATAGGTAGAAAGTGGTCTGCCTGTGGCAGAAACAGGACCATGTTTGGGATGTGTAAAAATTGGGGGGGATTTGACGCAAAGGAATGAGTATTTCATCAGGAACCCACATATAGGCACAGCTCTTGGGGTGATGGGTGAAAAAAGCTCTGGAGAGAGGTCTGTAAACATTCTCAATCATCCAGATCATGGTTGTCCCAAACATGCTATTTTCAAAAGGCAATTGGACTTCTTCTTTTTTTTTTTGAAAATATTTTGTTTGTCAACCAAGAAACCTCTTTAGTTCTAAACTGAAGAAACTTCTTGGATTGGAAGCTAAATGTTTTCAAAATTAAAAAAAAAGTCTAGTTGCTTTTTGGAAAAAGCACCCTTGGGATTCTGGAGAGAGGGCTCTGAGGAGAACGAAGCAGCAGGATACAAGGGGCAGAATGGAGCTGGCAGGGGCTGCATGCAGAGTGCAACCTTCATCTTACTGCTTAGGCAAGATGATGTTCTATCCTCCCTTGCATGGAGAAACATGTTCCACTTTGCCAAGATTTGCTGTTATATACCACAACAATTTCTCCTTTCAGCTTGTGCTCTCTTTTCCCAAAGCAGTCTTGCTTTTGTACTCCAACTAATTAATGACTGTAGAGTGCAAGAAAGTTCTGAATGACTTTGGCTTTGTCTGCCTCATCCTGCCCCTTCCTGCTCAGTATGGCACCGGTGAAAGGATGCTCTGGGGAGGTGGCAAACAGATTGGAATCTCTGCTTCTCCCTACCACATTGGCTGCACATCAGTCCTTAGTTCAGTTAATATGGGTGTCAGTAAAACCTGATCGAGAGGTCATTTACCATAGCTTGAGTTTTTTTACAGTTAAAAGTGTTGGTGGGACAGGAGTCAGAAGCATTTTCATAATAAAAAAGGCATGTTAATCTGCCTATGGCATGTGACAGATGCAGTTCAGTTTTATGTTACTCTGCAGTTCTTGGGTCACAGTGTGCTTCTGCAGAAGTTTCCATTTAAAATAAATATAGTTCAGCTATTTAAAATACTCAAGCAAAGTGTTCTATGTGCAGTTGTAAATGTAAGTTAGTCTTTAATGACTTTACATGGAAATTTTCCTGAAATGGTTGCAGTTCTTAAGACTATTCTGCAGCTAAAGAATCACTACAAAATGCTGCTTACAAGATGTAAAAAATAAATACTTGTAAATACTATTTTCATTTTATTCTAGTTAGCGTTTTTGTACAGTAATGCAGATATACATTGAATATGTTATGCAACTTAGCGATGAGCATATTTACTATGCTACAATATTGGAATTTATTATAAAATGTACTTTGCTGCTCAATAACTGCTTTATTTAGGTGTAGTTGAAATTTATATAACAAAATGCTTTCTAAAGCCTAGCATCTTGAAAATCATTAGTTTTCTGAAATATTTATACATATTTGATTCACTCTGAAATTTTGACCTTTCTTGGATCTAAAGAGTCTTTGCTTCTCTATCTATACATTTTTGTCAGAAAATTTACAACCTTCAGATTTAAACTTTCCCATGCAATTTTCTTATTCTTTTTCAGAATGTTCTGATTTTACTGGAATGAGTTGTGAAGCATGTACAAAAAATACTGTCGTAAGTATTTTCATTTTTTATTTAACCAGAGGAAAATTTTGACTATTTTTACTGTATTTCATGGGCAGAGACAGATTTTTTTTTTAAATGCAAACATTTGTTGTTTGATATCAGTAAACAATAGGTCACTGGCAACTAGAAGACAATAACATTTAGAGTTCAATGACTTAAAAGATTTTCAGTCTACAGTGGTGGGCTTATGTTAACAAAAGAATCTGAATGCAGAGAATGTAAAGAAGACTATGCCATATTTGGACATTCTGAGGGATGTAGATAAGAAATCCAAATTTTCAAAGAGGGTGCAGCTGCAAGAGAGCACAAAAAGTTTGAGATCTAGCTGGGTATAAATTATGAATTTGTATTTCTACCCCACTCAGCAGTTGTCAACTCTCTGTTATGGTTATCATTCCCTGGAATACAATAAAGATGCAGCTTTGAGTTATGTTTCTTTTTATCTCTGTGGTAGCCTGACAACTTCCTGCTGAGTTTTCAAATGTAAGGAAGGTGTCATAAATATTTGGAAAAAGAAAGCTATTTCATTGATGGGAGTAAGCCATAGTTTGGTAATTACTAATTGAATCTTCAAGTTTATTCTTCTTGTGTGGGCTTCTAATCCCTCTTTTGAAATTATGTTAAATCACAATTTCAATTTTACCCAGTTGGTTGTACAAGCTGTGATTTGTTACCAAATCTTAATATAGTTAATTTATATATGAGGACAAACTGAAAAGTCTGAAAGAAGGGGAGAAAATCGAGTACGGTATTTGCGAGGACTGTGATAAATATGTGAGCTTATAAACGATTTACTAAATATGATTTGTCATAACATGAAAGAAAAAAGTTAAATTTGTCTCTTTGAATTCTACAAATGAATGTGTTTAATGTGCTGGGTATTTTAAAACTGAAGATAATGTGACTACAGGTAATCCTTGACTTATAACTAGTTGTTTAGTGACCATTTGAAATTACAACGGACCCCCCCCCCCAAGCTACTTATGACCTGATTTTGAAAGTACAATAGCTCAAACCCCTCACAGTCATATGCTCACTTTTGGGTGCTTGGTAGTTGGCTTACCTTTACAGCCGTTTGCAGCATCCCACAGTCATGTGATCATGATTTTCAGTTATTTTTGTTAATTTTTGATATTTACTTCCAACAAAAAACAACCATTAGGTAGAATGGATTTGCATAATTTACCTTAAAAACATCACATTGTTTAATGAGCATGATGTTTGCTTAACAACTGCAACAAAAGTTGTAAAATTAAGTCCGGTCATATGATGTCCGGGTTGATGATTGTAATGACTTATGCCTGTAATTCTGTGAACAATTCTGGTCATAAGTTGAGGACTACCAATATTAAGTGTGTCTTTTTAAATTAAAAATGAATCTCTTGGCATGAATTCATATGATGGTTATTTCATGTCCTAGTGAATTCTGATAATAACTTAAAATCAATATTGATTTGTTTCACTTTCCTAAATTTGGATTGTGAACTGTTCACGCCTAAACATTTGTTTAGTTGAGATCATGTTTAGAGGTTTTTTTTTTTAAAAAAAAAATGATTTCAGAAGAATAATCTTTTACAATGAATGGCTTAATTTATAACAGTGACCTTATTATTTAACTATAGCATTTATCTCATTATTTTCCTTATGTTATACGATAGCCATTTAATTAAGGATTTTTCTATTCTTTTGCTGTAATCAGAACTTTAGATTCAGCAAGAAAAAGAGAATGGAAAGAACAAAAGTGAAGCTAGAATTCAGTAGCACCAGGGTATAGTAGAAGAGAGGAACAGTGATAAAGTAGGCCAGAACATCATTGATAAAAGAGGATGGGAAGCTCCTAACAGCAGAATACAGCCAGCGAAGCAAGAGTCACATTGTGTTTCATTAATATGGTTATGTGTCAAGAAATAAGACATTAGGATAACAAAATTGTGGAAACTGAACAAGCAAAACTCCCCTCCTCATTCATGAGTGGGTTCATTAAGGCAGTGTCTCTGAGTTATTTGAGCTCCCTTTTCCAGGAAGAGAGCTAGCTGCCTTCTTTCCAGAAAAGCCTGGAATTGCAACAGCCATCTGCTCTTTGTTAGTGATGTTTTAAAATACTCCCTTTCCTTGTTCAGCCCAAGTGAATTATTTTACAGATATGAATCCACAAAAGAGTGAAGAAAAGGAAAAGAAGACTGATAAAATTTTCTGATACTTCCACCAGCCCCAATTTTTTAAATAAAAATGGTAGCTATGCAGCCTGAATTTTTTCACAAGAAGTTATCTTTTGAGCCATATTGAAATTGTTAAAGCAACATAAATGTTTTAGAATCATTAAGTCCTGAATTCCAAGGCTGATGAGTTGTATTGATAATTGGATGATGAATGCAGCAGGGAAATTACTATAGCACTGCCAGCATTGTTCTTAGGAAAAAAATACATCTGGAGTTCATCATAGCAGTGTTCATAAATATAATTGTTCGGCGGAGTAATTTTATAAATAAAGCCAGTATAAAGATTCTGAATTTCTGGGAAATTACATTTTTATTTCTTGCTCAGATTAGTACAAAATACATTTTCAGCTTCCAAGCTGAAGAATGGGAAATAATATGATGGAGCTAGCCTATTATGACCGTAAGTCATGATAGTTGTAAAGCGATAATCATGTGGCTAACCCGATTTTACAACCTTTTTATAGCAATTTTTAAGTGCATTGCCATTAAGCAAATGCAATAGCACTTAGACTTATATACCGCTTTACAGCCCTCTCTAAGCAATTTACAGAGTCAGCACATTGCCCCCAACAATCTGAGTCCTCATTTTACCAACCTCAGAAGGACGGAAGGCTGAGTCAACCTTGAGACAGTCAGGATCGAACTGCCAAACTGCTGGCAGCTGGCAGTCAGCAGAAGTAGCCTGCACTACTGCATTGTAATCACTGTGCACCATGGCCAAAGTCATTAAGTGAATGCCGCAGTTGTTAAGTAAACCCATTATTCGCTGTGGGGTTAGGGTTACTTCTAAATGATCAGTCATAAACTGAGACCTACTTGAATTTTTAAAACTCTTCTGGTTAATTTAAGGAAGTAGGCCTGGACTAAATCAAATACAAGTAGTCTTTGACCTATGACCATTTATTTAAGAACAATTTGAAATTGTGACTGGACTGAAAAAAGTGACTGATGACCAGTCTTCACTCTTATGTGTGTTGCAGTGTCCCCACAGTCACATGATCAAAATTTGGGTGCTTGGAAACCAAGTATTTATGATGATTGTTGGGTCCTGGGATCATGTGATCACCATTTGCAACTATCTCAGGCGGCTTCCAACAAGCAAAGTCATTGGGGGAAACTGAATTCATTTAATGACCATAGTGATTTGCTTAATAACCATGGTGATTCACTTAATGGCTGCAGCCAACAAGGTTAGAAATTGTGTGCAATTTAATGACTACTTTGCTTAGTAAGGGAAGATCCAGTCCCACCTGTGATGAGTCAAGGACTACCTGTAAGGTAAATGTGCTAGCAATTATAACTTGCTAGCCTTTAAAAATGGGATCTTGATAAATCAAGATGAAATATGGTGTAATTTCATTCATTCAGTATAAAGCATTCATGGGACAAAACATTCCTGTCATAACTGATACTTTGGTATAGTGATTAAGGTCCTGGACTTTATATCAAGAAATTCCAAATTTTACTCCTCTCTTAAGTATGAAACATTGGTTGGGTGATTGAGCCAGCCACTCTCTTAGCCCAATCCACCTCAGAGGGGTGTTGGAAAATTAGGAGGCAAGAATATTATGTAAACTGCCTGGACTAGTGTAATAAAGATGGGGTGTAAATATTAATAAGATCAGATTGCCAATCTGCTGGCTTTTTCTGGTACCGATAGAGTTGCAGAAGTGTTAGTTATAACCTTGATAAAACTGCTGATTTAATAATAAGCTTGGTTCATGATAAACTTTTTATTTTTCATTCCTTTTCCTCACAGTGTCTTTGGTGCAGTGAAAATTCTACTTGTATGGATTATCCTGTAAACAAAATCTTGCCACCATCATCGTTGTGTTCACTTACTAAGTCTTACTGGGCAATATGTTGGGGTATGTAATCTTGTATATATGTTAAATCAACACAGGCCAGAATATAATTGCAATGTCTTTATGAAAGAACATTCAATTCAGTTCAGTGTCTCCTGTGAAATGGTATCACTATTTATTTAGAAAAAAATTACGGATGTCAGTATTCTGTAAAACACTCTAGAGGGTTAAGAAACAAACAGAAAAAAAACCAAAAGATTAAAATTTATAACATATCAGTGCCATATCAGCGCCTTCTTAAAAAACACACTACAGAAGCCTCTGTTGGTGACTGGATGATTGTTGTCCAGCAAAGTAGGGTCCAAAGAAGGTCTCTTGAAAAGGTGTGAACTACCACCTCCTTTCCCACAAACATGTGCCTTTTCCAGGAGGAGCATGGGTTTAGAACACAGGTGGCAGATCTCACAACTGCAGGGATTCTGTCCACTTCCTCAGGACCAGTTAGCTAAAAATCCACCCAGGTAATGCAGCAAAAATATTTCCCCAGTCACTTCATAGGAGCACAATTGGAGTTCAACCCAGAGCAAATCCAAGAGACTTTAACCAATGGATGCCTAGAAGAATCCTCACAGCAGCCTTGCAAGAGTTCCCCCAGTCGTTCTTTTTATCAAGGAAAGATCTGTCGTCCGAAACAGCTGTTGGCTGGCTCTCAGTGGATGCAGTAAAAGTGGAGAAATACATTCTCTTCACTGTTCTTATCACGACAAGGAAAAGTGATAAAGATTTCACCTGCATTTAGCTCTATTTTTCTTCAGGGTTGTTCAAGAGATGCCTATATAATTTCATAAATCATGGTATCTCGGAGTTCTATATGTTGTATGTGTGTTTCCACTCTCCTCATGGATTGTATTTTCGTCTTCATTTATGTACATGAACTTGGAGTACAGAGTGAGTTGTGTACCGCATGTTCTGCACGGGACCATGTGATCAGGAATGTGACAAGCTTAAAATGGAACAGTCAGCATTGGGGTGCACTGAGGATAATTTACCTCTGCATCCATTGGCTTGATCAAGCCTGTTTTCAACTCTCTGTCTTTTCCCAACTTCTTCCCATGCCAAATCTGATCCAGTTCTGTACTGTTTTCCAGTTATCCTGCTAACAGATGAACAGACTCAGACAGACTCCCAATACCCCTTAAATAATTTCCTTCCAACTTTCCATTGGTTTAGAAAGGATATAAAGACTTCACCAAGGTGAAGAATGGCCATGTAACCTGGATTCTCTGGAATATTTCCACTACAATAAACTCTACGTAAAATTTATTGTGATATCAGTTTTTTGGCATAAATGTGTACATGAAGAGAGGATGTATTCAGTACAGGAAAATGGTTTTGTAATGACTGAGTGTGGAAAATGTGTCTGATATTTGATGCAATTCTTAGGATTAGCAGGAAGGGACTTTTTAAAGTCAGCCTTATTTTATTTTATTTTATTTGGCATAGAGGAAAGAGCCTTCTGTATTCATTCCAGCTATGGAGCATGTCCTCTAATGTTTTTTGGCCCCACTCTAAATTTTTAGAAAATTTGTAAGGATATATTGCTTTTGTTTGGCTTTCAAATGTTAATATGATTTTAGTATTTGTTAATAATTTTAAATTATATTTTTTACAGTTTTATATTCAGTATTTGTCTGTAATTTTGTTAACTACCTTGAAGGCTCTCCATAATAGAAATATTGGCTATAAACTGAAAGACTAATACTGTTTAATCTATAAATGACTGTTTTATAAAAACAGGAAGTGCATATTGAACCTACTTGATATTTGTCTGGTTCATGCACTATGTTTCACAATAGGGTGGTTTGTTTTTAGTTTGGTATGATATGCAGATTGCTTTACCGGGTTTTATAAACTTCATATTTTTTTCTTGGGATGTTCTATGATAAACTAAAGACAAATCGTATTATGGCATAGCATTATGTAATAACTGAGTCATTGTCTCAAGTACGATTCCATTGATTACACAGTTTTTTTCAATTTGTATCTCATGACATTTTCCTATTAATGTGAAGTAGGTGATAAATGAACACTGCTAATATATGGATTATGAAACGTGGGCAACTGCACAGTCATGTTATTACAAATTAAATAAAATATCTAAATTTAGCAAATAGATACTGTAGTGATAGATCTTCCTTTTTATCATACAGATACGTAATAGTGCTTAATAAGAGTGTGCATGTAAGCATAATGGACATAAATCACCTTTTCCCATAACATACTTTTCTAATGGCTACTTTTTCTACCTTTTCTAACTTTTTTTTACTTCTGATTTTCAGCAAATTTGGAAGCAATCATCATCACTATAGGTGTTGTAGTAGGCATCATTCTGATGTTCATAATTTGTTGCTGCTGTTATTGCTGCCGCAGATGTCGTAGGCGTTCTGAAAGGTACACACATTTTTTAAAAACGTTTTCTTGATTTTTTTTTCCTTCTGAAAATAGCATTTTTGAAGATTCTAGCACAGGGGTGTCAAACTCGTCACGTGACATGACGCGACATATCGTGAATTTTTCCCCTTGCTGGAGCTGGGGTGGGTGCAGCTTCCGCGTGATGCATCTGGCCCGCGTGCCAGCAGTTTGACACTTCTGTTCTAGCACATCTGTTCTTAGGGATCCAACTGTAAGTAAATCATACCATAATTATACTATAATATAATTATAAAAGATTAGATTGTTTAGAGACATTTTAGGGAAGTCAGTCGGGATTGTAACATATGCAGCAGAGATTATTCTTTCTTATTGTTTGATGGAGAAAATCTCTTCTTCCCTAGCATTTATCACAGTTTTATAGACATTAAGATTGAGGTAATAAACAATGTTGGATATGTAAAAACTGTAAGGACTAAAAATTTGAAGTTTTCATCTTGAGTAAATTCTGCTTTATTATAATCAAATGCCTATGGCTATTTTGTAGCTAATTTGATTCTTAATTTTTAAATATATTTACACAGAATATGTGTATCTACCATCCAAGCTAGATTATTTGCATGTCTAGGGCCTTACTTTCTTATTTGACTACTTTTTCTGCATGATCTAAGAGAATAATAATCTGCTATTTGCTGCTTTTAAGAGGAAATGTTTGGATTTGAATTTGAGGCATCTTGTCATTGGAGATAAAAAATATAAAAGAAAAAAATATTTCCAAGATATAAAATTATTTAACTATCTTAATCCTGATCTATATGTGTAATATGTAGATTTAAAGTTTGTCACGCAAATGGTTTCAGAAATCATATAAAATTCATTAAATCCAGACAATGTTCTAGTATGATGACTTTCTAATACAGGCAGTCTTCAACTTATAACCATTTGTTTAGTGACTGTTTGAAATTACAACAGCACTAAAAAAATGACTTATGACCATTTTTCACACTTACAATGGTTGCAGCATCTGCTTGGTCATGTCATCAGAATTTGGGCACTTAGCAACTGCCATGTATTTATGACAGTTGGACTGTCCTGAGAGCATGTGATCATTTGTAATCTTTCCATCTGGCTTCCAACAAGCAAAGTAATGGGGGAAGCCATATTCATTTAACAACTTAACTTAATTCACTTAAATCTATGGCAAAAGAGGTCATAAAATGGGGCAAAATTCACTTAACAACTGCCTTGCTTAGCAACAGAAATTTTGGGCTCAATTGTGGTTGTAAATTGAGGACTACCCATAATGATCCCATTTACATGCTAGAAAGAAAAAATGAAATAAATAATGAAAACCATAATTAGGGAAAACTATGAATAAGGGAATAGCACCATAGATAATTACCATCTTAAGTGTCATCTTGAATTCTCAGAGAAAATGCAACAAATATAATGAAATAATATTAGACCTAAGCTTTAAGCATGATGGATTATATTACACACATAGAGGTCTCTCTTGGCATCTGCCAGGCCTTCCATACTTAAATACTTTTTAAAGAGTCTTTAGTTTATATGTAATGCTTGCCCCACTCCCAATTAAATGAAAAGTTGGCATGCTATAAAACTTTTAGCTAACAACATGATTTTTATTACCAAGGATATGTCTGGAGTCTTTCTGGACCTCACAGGAATTTTAGAAAATAAAATAATGTGTGGTTGTATCTTTCCAACTGTAAATAACTTAAAAACGTAAAAATGACAGCTATCATTGCAGAAACTTCCCAAATTTGATTTATCTATGACTAATTTTAAAGCTGTGGCTAATATTTATATTTGGCAGAGGCCGTGTATTAGATATTGTTTGGAGCTTTTTTTTCTTCATTCCAAATACATGCAAGATGGATTCCTTTGTTTTAAAGTAAATACGTTATTACATGACACTGGGTGGTTTACAAAAGGATTTAAAAAATCACAACAGTAACACTGTGCTGAGATATTAAAACTGATCATAGCATGGGAAATTAAACCTTGGTAGAATGTTGATGGCCATAATTTATTATAAAGACGGATTTAACTTTTTTTCATTTAAAAAAAAACCTGTTATCATTTTCCAGATCCTTGAATATTTTTACAAAATATTTTTATCAAATAAATCCACAGGTGTGTAATCTTTTTGGTAGTGATATTAAAGCCCATTACTTGGTACAGATATTGTTTTTGTATTGTCAGTTTATATTAAATAGACGAAATTTGATACGTCCTTGAATTTTGGGGCTATAGGAGGTAGAATGCATATATAGTGATGAATTTTCCCCTCTCCCTATCAGTAAAGCCATGAAAATACCTTATTCATTAATCAGCTTTTTAAAAGATTCCTGAATGGATCTCTCAAGATGGACTGTGGGGTGGCATTCGGATTACAGGTAGTTCTCGACTTATAAAAAAAGTGACATGACCATTTTTTACACTTATGACCATTTCAGCAGCCTGATAGTCATGTGATCAAAATTTAGATGGCTGGTAACTGACTCAATGATTGTGATGTCCTGGGTCATGTTATCACCTTTTGCGACCTCTTACGAGCCAAGTCAATGGGAAAGCCAGATTTACTTAACAGTTGGATTACTAACTTAACAACTGCAGTGATTCACTTAACAGCTGTGGCAAGAAATGTCGTAAAATAGGGTAAAACTCACTTAACAAATGTCTCATTTAGTAACAGAAATTTCGGCTCAATTATTGTAAGTTGGGATTGCCTGTACTCATTCCATTGCCCGTACATGGAGGTTGGCCTTAAAGAAAAAACATATAACATATAGGGAGTTTTTGGCTGACAACTATTTGTTCACTTAAGTGGGGCTGAACAAACAGTATTTATAACCAGGTCTCAAATTCTGGCCATCCCGGCATCTCAGTGTGGTCACAATCTGGACTATTGGCAACTGGATCATACTGAAAATAGTTGAAGCATCCTGCAGCCATGTGATATTTTTTTTGCCAATTGCATCTTCTCTTGGGTGACTCCCCACAATCAGAATCAAAATGGGCTAGCCAGTTGGGAAGATGCCATAGAGGAAGGTGGCAGCTTGCTCTCCCTTCCCAGCATCTGCTCCTGGGCCCCAGAGCCCGCACACCCCTTCCGTAGCCTTGCTTAATTCTGTAGTGCTCATTTGTCTTGCCTGTTGATAAACCACCAACACCTTGTTGTCTCCCTGGTTGGCTTCCCCATTCACTTTCTTGGAAGCTAGCAGGAAGTTTCAAGTGATGGCCAGTGAATTCTAGCTTAACAATCCATGATCCTCGCTTAACAACGACAAGAGGATGGCAGTGATTAATGTCACTAAATGATGCAGTCATGTGTCTTCGCACTTTATGACTACATTTCTTTTAATGGTGGAAATATATACTTGCTGAAAAATACTAATCTTCAAAGTACAGTTACAAATACAAATAAACCAAGTCAAATGTCCCATAGATCATTTTTATTAAATATATATATATATACACACACACACACATTCATGGCATTTTTGGAATAATTCTTTAATCTCTCACATAACATGTCCACTGGATGTCAGTGTTCTTTCTTGAAACGGTCAAAGTACAGTGGTAGTAAATAAAATTTCCTATTTTGACCAACAAATCAAAAGTTAATAACTAAGAAATATTTTTCTATTGATCCTTTTTTCACACTTGTTTTTCCATGTGAGTTGAAAGAAGAAAATGTCCACTATTCTACTTAATAGAAAAAATAAATTCAGTAATACTTGCATGATTCATTATTCTGTTTGTCATGTTGTTAAGTATCCTGATAAATTGTCCACTTTAAATCATGAGAGTATATTAGATGAGGTTTATTTTTATATAAAACAAATCTCTTTACTATATCCAGAGCACTTTAAATCTGAACTATAAGTTTCATTTAATTTAAGAATTGAATTAAAATTTTAGAATGAAGTGTAATTATAATAGCATTTGATAATGTTGGGTTCAGATACATCCTGATCGTAAGTCAATAAAGATACTACTTCTGATTAGCTTACAGTTTGTAATTAGGCACACTTTGAGGCTGCAAAAATTAAAATGATATATTCCCTGTTATAAGTTTGGTAATCTAATAAATTAATGCCACCTGAACAGTATATTTCTGGCATATAGTTGTTCTGAAATCGCATATATTTTTTTTCATTTTCAGGAGAGCAATTGATGAAGAAGAAACATTTATTGGAGATCGGGAAGAAAAACGATTGCAATCTGCTCAACGGTAAGTTTGGAAATTATTAACTGTAATACTGCTCTCAGCAAATCTTAAGTATTTGGCTACAGAAATATTATTAGGTTGCAGAAGCAGAAGATTCCTGATGCCTTTCAGCCTGTCTTTGGTGAAAGGCTTTGAGCTTCAAAATAGTTTATTGGCTTGTTACAAACAAGGATCCAAGTTTACTGTTGGTCACAAGTGGAAGAGTGGCAGAATAAATTACAGTAATCTGGGCTATTCATTGGTTGAAATTCTGCCAATATCCCTGCTATGGTGCTGCTTCATTTTATAGGTAGTCCTTGGGTTACAACCAATTATTTAACAAGCTTTTAAAGTAACCATGAAAGAAATAAATTTGCACTTAACAGTTATCAAAGCATCCCCGCAGTCATGTGTCAAAATTGGGGCACTTGGCAACCAGCATGTATTTATGATGATTGCGGCATGCTGGGGACACATGATCGCCTTTGTTTTCAACCAGCAAAGTCAATGGGGAAAGCCAGATTTTGATTAATGCCTGTATCATTTGCTTAGCCATCACAGTTATTTGCTTAATGACTGCATTGCTTAGCAACAGAAGTTATGGTTCCTATTGTAGTCATAAGTCAAGAACTACTGTCTGTATTCTCCTGGAATTCAGTTCTGCACAGCAAAGTAACGATAAATAATAGTACTTTCTTATATTTATGCATTGCAGAGATCTGCACTGGTTGACTAGATTGATCAGGCACAATAAAAACTCTAGTTTATTTGTTTACTATTTTTTCACATTTTTGTGCCATCCATCTCCCTCAAATAGTTAATGCCTGGCTGTTTATAGGGCACCTTTTCTGTTGCAAACCTTTGCAGCCATTCCTACATGCAAGACAGGCTTTTTTTGAAGACGCCCAATTGTTAGTCTGGAATGCAGGAGAAAACCTCTTCTGTTGTTTGTGGGCTATGGAACAAATTCCCTTGGAATATTGCTCCCTTTTTTTATGCATAGAGAAAAATTGTAATGACATAGCTTTCATTGAGCTTTTAATTATTAATTGATTGTATTAACAATTTCAGTTTTTAACTATTGTAAAACTTTTAAAAATTTTGATAGCCACACTGAAAATAGAAATCCAATATATCAATCAGATAAATATATTATTAAAATACATGCCTTGTCTAGAGGCTTCCATAATGTACACTTTTTAAAAATACATGTATGTAAGAATCACAGATAAATATACATAAAGCCTAGTGAAATATAATTCATTTTTAAACAAAGTTGCAGAAATGTTCTTTACAGAACAAGAGCCAGCCAGCTAGATAGGCATTTTGTCTCCTTGATAAATATCTAAAATAATAAAAGGACCTTCATCTGAAGGCTAGATGGAATCTCTTATTAATTTCATTTTTCCAAGAGACTGTTAAAACAACAAATAAAATGCTTACTGAAGGTATTAAAAAGAAGCTAACTGCACCTATTCAAAGAACGGATAAGCTTAGTTTATGAAGAATACAATTCTAGATCAAGTGAGGGCAATCAGGAGGAAAATGGAAAGAGTAAGGAAAAATTGAGAAACCAAGTCTTTTTGGAGCTAAAAATGAATAAAATCTCCAGAGGCAGTAATGCTACTTTGTTTCTTCCTATATATTTCTACTACTAATCATGTGTTGGGTATTTTGTGACATATTTCTTTCTGAGGTGCAGCTCTAATGAATTGCTTCCTTAATTCAGCATTTTAGCTTCTTTTTTTAAACTCTGCTGCTGGAGAAGAGATAAGATAAGATAAGATAACCTTTATTGTCATTTTTATACTGTGTGCACAATGGCACACATCAAAAATGAAATTTAGTTGCCCGCTCTCAAAGTGAAACACATACATGACACACACCTAATACATACTATGAACAACATATGTATAGACCCACATCCCTACATATACATAGCAAATAAATATTAAATATTGTCCATCTTGAATATATAACGGAAGGAGGAAGCTTGATAGTTCGCAAGGTTAATGCTGTCTGGAATGAAACTCTGGCTGAATCTGGATGTTATTTGACCACCAATACCTTAAATTTTATCTGAATGTCCTCAGTGCAGCTGACATAGTAATTGTTATCACATAAGGATACCAAGAAATGCTAATGGCTGCTTGGCTGGTGCTGTCTGGATTAGCTGTAAGCTAATCAAGAGCAGCTACATGTAGAGTGTGTTGCTGTAATCTAGGCAAGAGGTGAATAAGGATTAGATGACAGGTAGTCCTCAATTTACGACTACAATTGAGCCTAAAATTTCTGTTCCTAAGCAAGGCAGTTGTTAAATGAATTTTGACCCCTTTTACAACCTTTCTTGCTGCACTTGTTAAGCTAATAACATGATTGTTAAGTGAATCTGGCTTCCCCATTGGCCGTGCTTGTCAGAAGGTTGCAAAAGGTGATCACATGACCCTGGGACACTGCAACTGTCATGAGTCAATTGCCAAGGGTCTGGATTTTGATCATGTGACTATGGGGATGCTGCAACAGTTGTAAGTATAACAAACAGTCATAAGTCATATTTTTCAGTTCTGTTGTAACTTTGAATGATCTCATTAAATGAACTATTGTAAGTCGAGGACCATCTGTAATCACTCCATAGTGGTGTCAGTTTCAGTCTTTCTCTAAAATGCAAAATAATCTCCATTGGAAGTTATAACAAGAATGACTTGTATTTTCTTTTTACTGCCCACGTCCATAAATAGCAATAGTACTTAGACTTGTATATCACTTCATAGTGCTTCCCAGCATTTTCTAAGCAGTTTTCAAAGTCAGCACATAGCCCCTAACCATCTGGGTCCTCATTATATCGATCTCTGGAAGGATGAGTCAACCTGGAGCCAGTAAGGATCGAATTCCTGGTATTGGGTAGAGTTAGCCTGCAATACTGCATTCTAACCACTGCATCATTACAGCTCAGTAAAAGCCAACATTGGGCAAGTATTTATTCTCATGAAGTGGATTACAATATTGCTTTTTATAATCTTCACAGCAATAGTAGAAATTGCTTATGTTTTTATCTTAAATGAAAGTGCAATTGGAATATAGGGATTGTAGATCCCACATAAATCAGTTAGTAACTAAATTCAAGAAAGAATTTATGATGATTCAATCCAGTGAACCCCAGGAGAATAAAACAAATATCTCTGCCCATTCTAAGTCAAAGGCATGGATGTCTTTTGGTTCTTGTCCTCTAAGTCAAATAAAATTTATTACTGACTTTGAGCTATTGCGTACAATAGATCTCCTGCAGTCCTTTCAATTTCAGCTGCTGAGATTATCATCTCGGAGAAGTTTATTAAAAGGAGTTGATCTGAAAATAGAAGAAAACCTCTGAAATATTCTGGTGTCAAAAGTAATACAGAATTATATTTACTGACACTTTCTTAATCTTTCTATAAAGTACCATAATCTAGAACTTAATTTGTTTTGCCTTTGAAAAAAATATTTCATTTTACAAGCTATCATATATGCTAAAATTTTAAAAGCTTGGTTGATACTCATATTGCATTCATTATGTGTGCTTCAGTCATTGGAAATCAATACAGATAAAATTTAAAGGAAGGAAAACAACTTTGAACTGAAGATTGATTCAGATGCTACAGAAGTATTTACAGATATGAAAATCACACTGCAATATCAGATATATTGTAAATTGTATTGTGTTGATATATTTGATCATCAAATGTATATTAAAAATGTATTTTGAGATGTAGAAATGACTGTAGATGTAATTCATTTTTCCTGATTGTAATAGCTATACATAATATTATTAGTTAGCACTGGTTTATCATTTTTATTTTATAATCATTAACTTAAATATCTGTTATTTTCTCTAATATTAATAACCTTTGCAGGAGACATGAAAGAAGAGTGAAATATGATGAGCTACGCAGAAAATATGGTATGTATAACATAATTTCCATCTGAAGCTTTTTATCTCAATAGTGTTTGTAAGCATGATATGTAAATTCTGTTTAGCAAAGGGAAATGGCTGATCAGTGGAACCTCTTATTCAATTTGTTCCTATATCATTAGTGTTTTGCAGTGCAATTTGTGAAATTGTGAGGTTAAGCAGTTTTCCTGCCTCATTAGACATTCTGCTTGTAAAGTGATGGGCAGGTTTAACCAATGTCTCTTCATGCATGTTATCCAATGCCTGAAATAAAGTTTTCTAGCCCATGTAAGTGTTGGGGTTAAATGTTTGCCTTTGGCATTACATTCAAAATTTTGGCTGCATTCACATATCACACATAATTAACATGATTTATAATTAGAGTTAATGTGTAATTTATTTTAGAACAATGAAACACAATTTGGGAAACAAATAGCCTGATGTATTTCAGTTTTTTCACTAGTAAGCACCATACTAGTGATTACTATTAAGTCAATATCCAATTCTGGTTTGTTCAGTGCATTTTTAAAAAAATGAAGTGTAACTTTATGTGAGCTTTGAATACAATCTTGGCATATAAATGGCATTTTTAACACCAAAAGGTCAGTTAGCTAGTTCAATACTTCAAGCCTATTGAATTGTGAATGTGTCACTTGCTTAGGATGGAAAAAAAGAAAATAGAAATAAAGAACTAAATATTATTGAGCCGTCAGTGGCATATATGACCCAACTATAAGCGTAAGGAACAGTGTTTACCATAAAGTTAAAATAAGCAGCTTGTTGTTTCACCTGGATACAGAGGAATAAAATAAGCAATAGATTAACTTGCTTGCTCTATTTTGCAAAAGGAATTCTCTCTCATATATATGCATGAATGAATAATAGAGGGGAAATAATTTGCTAACACATTTCTAAATTAAGATGACTACAGACTTGTTTTATTATGAAAAAGAATCATTCTCCCCTGCTTCCCCCCTTTTAACTTTTCTTTCTTCATTTAAATGGTAATTATACATTGATAATGCATACCATGTATCCCTCACTCTAGTTGTGGTCCTTTGGGTGGAGGGGAGGATGCACTAGCACTTTGAAAGTGGACTGCTCCACATGAATGGTTTCTTTGTGCAGGAATTTGTCAGATTTTTTTCCCATATATTCTTGAATGAATACACTTTGCCCAAATTCTACTTTCATTGCTAAATGAAACTTAGAAAAGAAATGTTAGAAAATATATTTGTTATTCATTTGGTACAATCTTATACATTCTAGAAGAAAAACACAATGTTTTCCATAATTGTCTTTAGACTGAAAAATTTGTTACAGAATAGAGTAAGCATACATAGAAGGGAATAGTAATAGCTCAGAGTTGATCTGTAAGGTCCTTGATGTTTTCTGAGCTGAGGTTGTTTTCTTACAGATATGTCATTACCAAACTAGGTAATATCATCAGTGCAACAACTAAGGACAAAAAGCACCAAGGTCCCATATTTTATTCATGGACTAGAGCAGGGGTCTGCAACCTTAAACACTCAAAGAGCCACTTGGACCTGTTTCCCAGAGAAAAGAAAACACTAGGAGCTACAAAACGTGCGCAGGGGGGAGGGGGAGCTTCA